AGCAAGGTTGACTGACAAGGGCTGGGAGCATGGAGACAGCAAAGCCACCACTGAGGACAGGGGGGTCCAGGCCTGTTTCCTGCTCTGGTGCCCAGGCCAGTGCCAGCTGGGATTTTGTAAGGGATACAGATCTGATTCTTGGCACATGACAGAGCGTGGTCACAATTTTCTGGGAAACTTCACAGTCTCAGGCAGGTCAAGCCCTGTGAGCCCGGCGTAGTCACTTCCTCATCCTGGGAGACTTGTAGTTCTAGGGCCCTGTCAACACTGCCACAAGCTCCTGGCTCAGGTGCCGTGTCCCACACACTGGGGTGCAAGGACAGGGCAGGGTCTGCTTCCTGTCAGTCTGGAATTAGTAGGGCTCATATAATTTCACTGCAGTTGTCATTTGTGGGTCCTTGGTGGATGTCCCCTTCAGCCATTGTCCTGGGGAACTTGTCCCAGAGAGAGACACTGCAAGGCATGGGCAGAATGGCAGCACCTGGAGATGGAAAGGAAGCCTCCCAAGAGGAGAAGACATTCAAGGTAGTCTTGAAGGGTGAGGAGGACTGGATGGGAGGGGATGCAATTCAGGAATGTCCCAGAGAGGCAGGAGGAGGTAAGAATGCCTAGGATTGCACAACAGTGTGGCCTCACAAGCCAGCGTCAGGAGCTCTGCTCTTTTTTTTTTAAAGGGCAGAGCTTTTACCCTGTCTATATTCTTTTTTTAATTTCTTAAATTTTACTTTTATTTCTTTCTTACTACTTTTCTCCCTCTCCCCTCCACGCCCCACTTCACTCTTCTCTTTGAAAAGTAAAAGAAAAACTCTTTCATTGTTATACAGTCCCTCCCCCCCAAGTCCACTGCACTATGCAGCCTTCGTCCTGGACTCCTATAATGACAATAATACCGAATCATATGTCCCTTTTAAACAGTTCTCTCCTTCATCTGTTCAATGCAGTATACATCATTCCTCCCCTCCTTCTCTGTCTTCCCTCAACCCTGATGTCAGTCCCTTTCTATAACAGTGGCACTATGCAGTATTTGCCCTTTTGTGACTGAGATATTTCACTCAACATAATGTCCTCCAGGGTGATCCATTTTGCATACTTCATGAGTTCCTTGTTTTTCAATGCAGCGTAGTATTCCATTGTGTGAATATACCACAGCTTCTCTATCTATTCCTTTGTTGATGGGCACTTGGGTGGTTTCCAGGAGCTCTGCTCTTCAGGGCAATAGGGAGCCAGCGCAGAGTGTAGAGCAGGGGAGGCCTGTGCCATCCTCACAAGCGCTTCTGAATGTGCGTGGCCCCTAGACCCTACAACTGTAGAGGTCCAGTAGGATCCCTGGCTGCTGGGTCCCGCTCCGCCTGTGGTCTCTCCTCCCGGGGCCTCTGATTCGCTTTCTGAGATGCATCCTGGCTGGACAGAAAAGGACCAAAGCTGCAGCCACTTGATTGATTCCCACCCACAGCGACCCCACAAGATAGGGCTGAACGGTCCCCCAGGGTTATCCAGGCTGTGATGTTCAGGGGAGCAGATTGCCAGGCCTTACTTCTGCAGTACTCCTGGGCATGTTCAAACTGCCAGCCTCTAGGTTAGCTGTTGTGTGTCACTGAGTCAGAACTGACCCATAGCTGACCGTCCGGGGGGTTCTCAGAGGCTGTAAATCACACTGGAGGAGACAGCCCATCTCTGTCCCATGGAGCAGCTGGTGGCTTCAAACTATAAGGCTTTGCTTTGCCAGCGCAGTTCCTTCCCACTGAGAATAAGAGGGAGCTCTGGTGGCCTAGTGGCAAGAAGCTGCGCTGCAATCCCCAAGGCATGCGGTTCGAGGCCACCAGCTTCTCCACCAGAGAAGGTTGGGCAATCTCCTCCTGTGCGATTAACTGCTTCTGAAAATGCACTGGAGGGTCAGCTATGGATCTGGTTCTAACTCGACGGTCCACAATACAACAACAGCGGGAGTACGTAATAGCACCCAGGGGCCTGGATAGCGGTAAAGGCTCTTTCCTCTGGTGGGGCATGGTTTAAGTCACCCAGGAAGCAGGGGACTGGGGTACATAGTGCATCATCATTCTCACCCCAAAGACCCCAGACACCCCCAGAACTTGAGCCTCTGAGGCGGAGAGAGGGCACCCGGCCCTGCTTCCGACAGCCTCTCCCACCACCAGGCCTTGGTTTGCCCATCTCTTAGAGTTTGCGACTGACAGGGTTTGGAGATCAGTGAGTCTGTGGAAGCAGGGAGTGCTCCAACGTGAGAACGCGTCTCCACCGCCCTTCCAGCAAACTTCCACTCCTACTTCAAAACCCAGCTCCAGGATGGCCTTCTGCCCTTCACTGCCCTGTGTCCCAGGCTCCCCTGGCCCTTAGCCTCTCTCCTCCCCAGCCTTGACCCCCACCGGCCAGGAAGGGTCAGTATGTAACTCGGTCTTCCTCTGCACCCCCACTGGTGAGAGGCCCTCTCTCTGCGCATGGGACGCCTCTGGAGTGTGGTGCAATAAATGATACGAGGAGGGGAGGGGCTGCGAAAGGATGCAGCGATGGGGAGCCAGAGAAGGTGGAGGAGGAAGGGAGGGCACCAGGCAGAGACCTCGGTGGGACAGATGGAGAGACGGAGCTGGAAGGAGGTGGGCAGAGCCAGATGGACGGGCAGGGGGACGGGAGGGGCTGGATGGAGTGGGGGAGACCCAGCTCCCCGCCAGGCAGCGTGCGCCTGGGTGCGGGGCACAGGGAACCGGCGCGGGCCCGGCGTGCGTGCGGCGTGGACGCACCCGGCCACCCAGGGGCGGCACGTGGATGCCAGCCTGGCCCATGTCACCAGGGCTGGCGGCCGGCGGGTAAGGCGGGCCGTGGGGCTGCGGGGAGGGGGCGGCCAGGCCTCTAAGCCTCATCTTCCCACCAGGGGTTTGGCTAGGAGGGGGTGGCCCACCTGAATTCCCTGGGCCAGGCCCGGACCCCTCCATCCCACTTCCCAAGCTGACTCAGGAGGAAAGGGGCCTCCCTGTCAGAAGTGAAAGGTCCCAAGGCTTCGCGGCTGACAGAGGGAGATGGGGAGCAGGTACCCCAGGCCCTGCGGATGGGGTGGGAGCAGAGGGTGCGGCTTACAGACAGCCGCCCTCTTCAAGGCCGCCCCCTCCCTCCTTCCCTGGGCTCCCGCCTCACCAGGAGATTATATTTAAATATCTCTTTTGTGCGAGGCAGGAGCTGGGCTCGCCCCTAAGAGGCGGTTTCCATGGCAACAACAATTGCCAGCTTCCGTGTGGTGAATCAGGGTTGCCATGGCAACCCCATCCTCATCTGCCCAAGGTGCTGGGAGGGGGGAGGAGGTGAGGGCAAGCGGAGGCGGGGTGGGAAGAGCAGGAGGAGGGGGTTAGCGCCCAGGTGTCCCCCATTTCCCCAGCCACTGCCAGTCTCTCCCTAGCCCCAAGCTGACCCCATGTGGTTGAAATTCTTTCCCCATCTCCACCAATGGGGCGTGGTATCCAGCCAGATAGAACCTGGTGTGTGTTGGGGGGATCCAGCTGACTGAGTGGGGGAAGAGCAGTGTGGCCCCACTTTTCCCAGGTGGTCAGGACCCATCAGAAGGGCATGGCTGGGTGGTTGAAAGGTTGGGTTGGGTAACGGGGGACATGAGCTGGTTCTGGGCCTCCCAAAGCTTGGTTCAAATTGAGGCAGCCTTGATGCGCTTGTGTGAGGGTCAGAGTGAGGAGGCTGGGAGAGGAAAAAAGTTCAGAGGGGAAGAACTTGGAGAGAAAAGGCGCCTGCTGAGGGTGTGTGGGGGGCAGAGAGGAGGGGACCCTAAGACGGAGGGACTTACAGACAGAAGGTGAGACTCAGAAGGAGGGAAGAGAGGGGTAGGAACTCAGAGGAAAGGGTCACAGAATAGGGGAGGGCCTCAAAAGAGAAGTGGGCTTAGAGTAGACAGGATCTGGAGGAAGGAATCTGACATGTGGGAAGAAGTTCAGAGGGCAGGTGACTTGAGGGAGCGGGTCCATGAACCCTGCATTGTGTCAATTACACTGTGATCACCCATCTGGGGCCAGAGACAGAAGGAGACAAAAACATTTCCAACCTCCGAGCAGGAGAGACATGGGCTGAAGCAGTTTAAAAGTGTTAGGAGGATTGCCACGGTAGGGGCTTTTAGACAGGGTTTTGAGGGATGAGTAGGAGTTCACCAGACTGAAAGGGAGCTTCTCAAGACCAGTGGAGAAGCAAGCACCAATCCTACATCCCACAAGTTTGTTTCCAAATATGGAGAGGATTTCTTCCTTGACAGGCTTTTTCAGGGTCTGGGGGAAGGGCAGGAGTACTGAAAACAACGAGTCTAGGTGGCCAACTGGTCTACTCAGAAATGACAGTGACCCCAGCAGAGCTTGGAGGTGCCACTACAAGCGCTGTTTTGGTGTATAAGTCAGCCACCGCTGAGTAACAAAAGGCAGCAGCATGTCGCTGTTGGAAAGAAGAACCATGTTCACGATTCTTTGCTAGTCAACCTGTCCTGGGCTCATTCCTAGAGCCGGGGCTCTCCAGGGACAGGTGGACCAGGACAGAACCATTCCGCCAGACCTCTCGCTCACAATCCCACTGCAAAGGTCTGTTGTAACCTGGGCTGGGACCCACCATACTTCACTTCCTCCTATTCGTTAAAACAAGTCACACGGTCAGGGTCCAGTGGGTGGAGAAATAGACTCCACCCCTTTATGGGCGGAGCCACTAAGGAGCATGCTTCCTGGGATCACAGTCATTGGACCATCTTTGCTAACAGTATCACACTTGGGAGGCTTCCTGGAGGAGGAGCCATTGTTCTTGGGTTTTGAAGGTTAATTAGGAGTTTTCCAGAAAGCAGTCACGAAAGCCTGGAGGTAGGACTGTGGGCCATTTGATTTGACTGGAGCGTAAGCTGCTGCTGAAGGGTGTTGGGGTTCTGAGGCTGGAAAGTGGGCCTATCAGAGAGCGACCCAGACCTCCGGCCCCACCCCTTAACCTCTGACCTTGCTTCTCTCTGCATCTCTCCACAGATGGCGCGGCCGATCCAGGTGAAGCCTGCAGACAGCGAAAGTCGCGGAGGTAGTTGTCATCTCTCCGAGGCCACCAGGAACCTCAGTCAGCCCAAGGCTGGCGATTGGTGGAGGAATGGGGAGGAGAGGCGTGGGGGCGGGGTTTGGCCCCCCTGCATAAAAGCATTGGATTGCTGCATGCTTGCTCGTGCCCCCACTGCTTCCACGATGCTGGGGGGGGTGTCTCAGTCGGAGCGCTCTGGGGGGTGGGGAGAGTGACCAGGTGACCATGTGTGTCAGCGAGCATGCGTGTGCCTGAGCTCGCTGTGCTGATGTGTGCACGGGTGTGCATGCACACGTGTTTCTGAGGCTGGGGCATGTGGGCGTGCACTGCATCTGTATGCATGGGCCGGGCTGAGTGTCGGAATGTGGGTGCTTGACTCTGGGGGCTGGGGTGTGGGGGCAAGTAGGCTGGGGACTCAGGGCCTGCCGCCAGGAGCAGGACTGCTGTGTGAGCGCAAAGCCCTGGGATGAGGAATTCCTGGACTGTCTCACTGGGACCTGGGCCCGGACGTTTTCATACCCCCTCCCCACTTCGGGGGCCGGGAAGACAGAAGCTGACCTGGTGGAGTAGGAGAGGAATGGGGCAGGGTTGTTAGGGTTCTGTAGTATGTGTAGGAGTTCGATGAATCTCAGCGGGCCTGTACTGCGGGGTGGGATTGGGAACTGGGGAGGAGGGGTCTGCTGTCTTCTCTCTCACTGTGGGCCTGTCTCCTCTCCCTTTCCTCCCTGTGTGGCTGCTCCTCTCCTCTCCCTGCCCTGTTTTCTGCCTGGTTCGCCTTCTGTCCTCTCTGCATCTCGTCCTGTCTCTCTCCCTGACTCAGTCTCTTTTCCTTCTGAATCTCGCTCCCTGTCTCTCTCCCCCTCCCTCTCCCATGAGTGACAGCTGCTGAACAGGTTTCCATAGCAACCCAGCTCAACATCTTTGGGAGGTGACACTGAGGTGTTCCCACATTACCAGAGAGCTTTGGAATTACCTGGAAAAGGAGTGGGGCTCTGGCCCTGCCTTTGGCCTCTGACAGCACCCACTAGCAGCCCCCCTGGGTCCAGGCTCCCTAAGTCCCCCGCGTGCACACACATCCTGTCCTCACCCACCTCATGTTGGCCCAGCCTGAGCTCTGAGAGGAAGCAGCGACCACCAGCATCCACCCCTGCTGGAAGGTCCAGAGAGGGACCCAGGCAGTGGAATGGACTCGAGCCCTGACCCTGGCACTGTGGCTTCTGAGCATCTAGGCGGGGGGACTGTCTTCCTGGAGTGAGGGGAGTTGAGGGCCTGGAGCAGGGTGTTCAGCCCTGAAGGATAGGAAGCCTAGGATGCGGGAAGGTCTCCCTCCCAGGGCCACATCAGGCCCCCTCTCCTCCTTCTGGGGGAACTGACACATCTGGAGGCCCTGAGGTCGGGGGACTCCACTGAGGTGGCGTCTCTGCCCCAGGGGACCGGAAGCTGTTTGTGGGCATGTTGAACAAGCAGCAGTCGGAGGAGGATGTGCTGAGGCTCTTCCAGCCCTTTGGGGTCATCGACGAGTGCACTGTGCTCCGGGGGCCAGACGGCAGCAGCAAAGGTGACAGGGATGGGCACGCGGGGCGTGGGGGTGACACGGGGGCGGGAGCGAGAGGGCTTCTGGAACGGGGCTGGGAGGACAGACAGCTCATTGCTATCCAATGAGAACTGACTCACAGCTGACCCTCCACTGGGTTCTCAGAGGTGGTAAGTTGCACGTGAGGAGATTGCCCCTCTTTTTCCCGTAGAACAGCTGGTAGATTTGAACTGCCCACCTTAAGCATGGCAACTCTTTGCCACTAGGCCACTAGAGCTCCCCAGCATTGGTAGACTAGGGCTGTACTAAATGGATGGAAGGGGATGGGGTGGGAGAACTCGGGGAGGGCCTTGGTGGATGGGGTGGGGCCAGTTGGATGGGGTAGGTAGGGTTAGGTTGGCTTCACTAGGTGGATGGGGTGGGAAGGGGCTAGGTGAGTGGGGTAGGGAGAGGCTGGCTCCTGAGTGGACCAGGGTGGGATGGGGTGGGGCGTGGCCACGCAGGTGGAGACACAAGTCTGTGTGAGGGGTGTGGTCAGACAGAACATGGTGTGGGCTGCCTGTGAGGGCGTGGTCTTCTTTGTGGGCGTGGCCTGGACAAAGGGGCTTAGTCTGTTAGGAGGCATGGTCCAGAGCCTTGATTGGCTGCAGAGGTCTGTGTCTTGTGAATTTCTATTCACCTGACTGACCGTGTATAGGACTGTGCTATCTTCATTGGCCCCGTGTCCTGTCTGTCTGTCCCACTGTCTCTGTATGGCTGCGCCATCTAAGGACAATATTTAATGACCTCCCACGAGTCTCTGGACAGGTGCTAGAATGTCTCTCTCTCCAGCTGGTGTATGACTCTGCCTGTTCCCGCCTGGGCCTGGGGGCGCTGGTGCTGTATGTCTTTCCGTCTGCCTGTCTGCATGACTGCTCTGGCCTGTCTGGGGATGTCCGTGTCCTGCCCCCTTGGCCTTTCTGGCCCTGCTTGTGTCCCGTTAGACCCATGCTGGGGTCTCCGATCCTGTCAGCCCTCTCTCTGTGACCACTGCCATCTGCAGCCAAGTCCAAGTGACCGTTTCTGTCTCCCCCTTCCAGTGTCTGGTGGTCTCTAGCTACCTGTCTGTCTGGTTGCACCTGCTTGGACAACGTCTAGCCCAGACGACTCCTTAGTTCCCTTACTGGTTTGTGTGTGGGACTCTCTGGCTGTCTCTGCAGGGGCCTGGCGATCTCTCACCTTTACCTGTCTTTCCTTTTTAATCAACATATTTTATATGTCACAAGATTTTTTTTAAACTTATTTTAAAAACGAGAATCGTTCACTCATTCATTCATTGCTATCCAGTCGGGATCTTCTCATAACTGACCCTCCAGTGGGTTTTCAGAGGCTCTAGCTCACACAGACAGGGGACTGCCCATCTTTCTTGGATGGAATGGAACCCCCTGACTCTGGATTGGTAGCATAACTACTTAGGCACTAACTAGGCCACCAGAACTAGACACAGCAAGATACACACCAGTTTCCCAGTCTCTGTGCACAATCCAGGACACTATAATGTTCTGTGAGCTGTACAACTGTCCTCACCCTTCTGTCTGCATTTGTCCCCCAACCATGAACACACACTCAGTTCCCCGAAGGCTGAGCCACTCTTGAAAAGTAAACAATTCAGTAACTTTGGGGGTGTCCAAAAAGTTGGGGAACCACCACCTCGTTCCCCACACTTCCCTAACTCACTGCTTGTAATTGGCCTGGGGGCTGTGCAGTTTTCTGTCTGTTTGGAACTGCCCCCATGGACTCTGTTGGCCTGACAGTCCGGTAGTGTCTGTCTGTCCACTCTGCCCTGTCTGGTGGAATCTGATATCCACCTGCCTGACTCTTGTCACATGACCACATCCACCTGCCTGGCCCTAGTCACGTGACCACATCCATGTGACTCCATCTCCTGGGGCCGTGCCACCTGTGCTTCTATCTGATGGTCTCTGTCCTTTTAATTCTGCCTGTCTGACCTCATGTTGTCTCTGAGGCCACATTATCAGTGGCTGGGGCCATGGTCCCCTCAGGCTATCAGGCGCCCACCGCCGCGGCCACCTGTGTATCGCCCTCATGCTGTCTCTTTGCACCAGGCTGAATCCCTGATGATCTGGCTAGAGGGTTCTCTGGCCAGGTGAATGAAGAAATGATTGTCCCTGTGGCTGCCTAGCTGTGTCACTGTCTTGCTGTGTGACTGTCCAGCTCTCTTCCTGCCATCTCACTCAGTGTCTGATGCTTTCTTTCCGCCCCCACCTGTCCGGCCGTCTGTCTGAATGCATGCTGGCCATCTTTCTGTCCTCGGGCTGTTTGGCTTTTTCACTTTTTGTGTGGTAGTCTTACTGTCTAGTTCATCCAGGGTCTGTCTGCATGCATGCTGGCCTTCTTCCTGGCATCAGGCTATTTGGCTGTAGTTTGCTGAGTGTGTCTGGGGCTGACTCTTGTCTCCACTCACAGCCCTCGTGTGGCCCCTCCCGCCAGAGGAAGCTCCGCCCACAACCAGGACCTCTGTGGCCCCGCCCACACCCTGAGGCCCCCCTCCCACTTAGAAGGAGCCCCGCCTTCATCCTGTAGCCCCTCCCACAGCAGGGAGCCCTGCTTGTAGCCCCTGTGGCCCCTCCCATCCAGAGGGAGCCCCACCCTCCTGTGGCTTCTCCTGCCCAGAGAGCCCCGCCCTCACATCATGGCTCCTTCCACTGGTGGGAGCCCTACCCACACTCGTGTGGCCCCTCCTATCCAGTAGTCCCTCCCACTCCCCTGTGATCCCACCTATCCAGAGGGAGCTCCACCCTCACCACATGGCTCCTCCCACCTGAGCAATCCCTAGCCTCACCCCTATGACCTCTTCCTTTGGAGGAAGCCCCATCCACACTCCTGTGACCCCTCCCACCGAGAGGGAGGCCTGCCCTCATCCTGTGGCTTCTCCTGCCCAGATAGCCCCGCCCTCACCCCATGGCTCCTCCCATTGGAGGGAGCCCCACCCACACCCCTGTGGCTTCTCCTGCCCAGATAGCCACGTGCTCACTCCATGGCTCCTCCCACTTGAGGGAGCCCCACCCACAGCCATGTGGCCCCTCCCACCCAGATGGAGCCACACCCACACCCGTGTGGCCCCTCCCATCCAGCAGGAGCCCTTTCTTCACCCAGGGCCGCTCCCACCTGAGCAAGCCCTAGCCTCACCCCTGTGACCCCGCCCACATGAGCGAACTCTCGCCTCACCTGTCACCTTCTCCTGAGCAGGTTGTGCCTTCGTGAAGTTCTCCTCTCACACCGAGGCGCAGGCGGCCATTCACGCCCTGCACGGCAGCCAGACCATGCCGGTGAGTACAGCCAGCTCTTGGCAGCGGTGAGATGGTGAATGGGAACAAGGCTGGGACAAATGTCGCCTGTCCCCATCATCCCAGTCAAGTGCAGCCCCGCTTTTTAGAGAGGGCACAGAGGTGGAGAAAGAGATGCTGTCGCAGTGGTGACAGGGACATACATGCCCTGTGTACCGAGAAAGTGGGTCCCCTCTCCCTGGAGCGCTGCTGCCACCTCTCACCTGGAATAAAGCAGCACCGAGCTGTGACCACACCTGTCATCACCAGCCACTCCTCTGCCTGCCCTGGGCCGTGTGCCCACGCTGGGTTCTCAGAGGCCCTAGATGTGTGCGTGACAGCAAGGACCCTCCACCCGGGCACCAGCACTGCCCCTCGCCAAACACTCCGGTCGTGCTGGGGGCCTGGTCTACTCACCTCCAGGATGTTTTCACTGAGGTGGAGGCCCTAGCCTGGGGACTGCAGACATCCCACTGCAGGGACCCCAGTCACCGTGACTCCAAGCCCCCAGAGTCCCAGCTAACTCTGCTTTTCTTTCCCTCCCCTCAGGGCGCCTCCTCCAGCCTGGTGGTCAAGTTCGCAGACACAGACAAGGAGCGGACGCTGCGGCGCATGCAGCAGATGGTGGGCCAGCTGGGCATCTTGACGCCCTCCCTCACCCTGCCCTTCAGCCCCTACAGTGCCTACGCCCAGGCTGTGAGTGATGCGCCCGAGTTCCTCGCCCGGGACATGCCCACCACTCCCTTGTGGAGGCTCAGCCTCTGTGCGTCTTCCTGACTCGGGGTCCAGTCCGGCCCATGGCTGAGCCCTGCATCCACACTAAGCCCTGAACCCCCAGATCCAGCCCAAGCCTTGAACTGTGCACTAATGCCAGTCTGGGCTGAAACCCACAGACAAGACGCAGTTGGGGCTGTGCCTCTGATCCCTTGACCTCCTGACCTTGGCTGCATTCTGCACAGACCTCAGAGTTCTCACACCAACAGCCTCAGCTGTCCTGTCCTCTCCCAGCAGGTGGCTGGCTTTGTATTGGCCCATATGCATTAAGCCCAGCCCCCCCCCCCGCCCCGCTCGCCAAACCTGGTGGACCCCAAACTGAGACTCCAGTCTGGCTAGGCTTAGTGTGCTCATTTTTCACCAGTTCCTGACAGAGTCCCAAGCCCAGACCAAGGCCCAGTTCCTGATCCTGGCCTAGGTCCCAGCTGTTGGGGACCAGGCTCCTCCGCGAGCTGTGGCCTCACCCCCATTTTGCCACTGCCTCCCTCCCTCCCCAGCTCATGCAGCAGCAGACGACAGTCCTGTCCACCTCCGGCAGCTACCTGAGCCCCGGCGTGGCGTTCTCACCTTGCCACATCCAGCAGATCGGAGCCGTCAGCCTGAACGGGCTGCCCGCCACGCCCATCGCCCCCACTTCCGGTGAGAGTCTGGTGACGCAGAGGGGGTGGGCAGGGCTGGACAGAACCGGGCATGCTGACCCCCTATACCCCGCAGGTCTGCACTCGCCCCCGCTGCTCGGCACTGCTGCCATGCCTGGCCTTGTGGCACCTATCACCAACGGCTTTGCAGGTGTCGTGCCCTTTCCCGGGGCGCACCCGGCACTGGAGACTGTGTATGCCAATGGCCTCGTGCCCTACCCAGGTAACTCGGTGGTCCCCTAGACCCGGAAGAGTGGTGAGGGGCAGGATGATATTTTTTTGGAGTAAACAGGGATGTCGCTATCTATGTCCCAGGGCCTCAGCTGAGCCCGTGTGGGCTGTTGTCATGGTGAGGGGGCTACCCGGGGTTAAACACTAGGAGGACCATGCATCCTAACCCTGTAAGTTCCCGGCTATAGTCCTGTGACCTAGGGGCTCCTTAAAGGACACCTGGTGGTACCCTGGTTAAACACTAGGCTGCTAAGTGGAAGGTTGGTGGTTTGAACCCACCAGCTGCTCTGCAGGAGAGAGGAGGCAGTCTACAGCGTCAGGGGCCCTCTGCGGCAGATCTGCCCTGTCAGACGGGGTTGTTGTGAGTCAGAATCCAGTCAACAGGAAGGGTGTTTAAGTCCTGAAGACTCAGTTTTCTCTTGTGAGAACCGGGACAGAAAATATCATATGCCTCAGGAGAGGTGCCGGGACGGTGAAGTCAGTTTATAAAATCGAGGTTACAAAACCCCAACCACTGCCCTCGAGTCAATTCTGACTCCTGGTGAACCGCAGGACAGAGGGTTTCTATGCCGATAATCTGCAGGAAATGCGCTCATCTCTCTCCGTCTGAATGGTGGTGCCAGTTACCGAGTTTGCTGTGAGCAAGCTCAGTGCTTAACCCACTGTGCCACCAGGACTCCATTAAAAAAAAAATTGGGCGCCGTTAGTCTTATGTTATCAATTATTACCATGCCAGAAGATAGGGACACCTCTGTGTCCTCATTCACTTTCTATGTGAGCCAGGCCTGGTCCTCAGACAGTCTCCCAGGGAAAGCGGTGTGGAGGTGATGGTCAAACCTGGGTTCTGGTTCCGATCCTGCCGGATCCAGATCCTGTGAAAGTAGTACCAGTTCTCTGGGTCTTTGTTCCCTCATCTGTAAAATGGGGGTCATGCTCATCAAGAGTTTAGTGAAATGTGGGGCCGGGGTGAATGCTTGTCAACCTCCCTCTGGCCCTTGAAGACGGGAGGGGAGATACAGCCATCTGTCCCTACCCTGCTTAGATTTCCTCCTGCCCGCAGCTCAGAGCCCCACGGTGGCCGAGACCCTCCACCCTGCCTTCTCTGGAGTCCAGCAGTACACAGGTAGGAATGGCCAGGTGGCCTCGGCCTTTTTATCTTTTTTTAAATTTTGTGTGTGTGTGTGTGTGTGTGTGTGTGTGTGTGTGTGTGCGCGCGCGCGCGCGCGTGTGTGTGTACCATTAAATCAGATCTGACTGGTAGAGGAGGAGATTGTCCCTCCTTCTCCAGCAGAGCATCTGGTGGATTCAAACCGCATACCTCTGGGATTGCAGTGCAGCTTCTTACCACTAGGCCACCAGATCTCGCCAATCCTTTTTTTTTTTTTTATCCACTTCTTAAACTACATGCCTATGAACTTTGATAAATGTCAATAGTTAACAGAAAGGCTTCTGGCCTTTTGTTCATAGAGTCGCTATGAGACGTTCTTGACTCTACGGCAATGAGCAATAACAACAACATTGTGCTTTTAACCAAAGTTTACAGAAAAGTTGGATTTTCATTCACCCTGGTTCTTCACAACCTGCACCCTTTCTCTTCAGCCAAGTCTTTGCTGCCAACCACACCCCACCCAAGGGCCCCCCCCACCTCTGACCCCACCCTCCAGGTCAGGCCTTCTCACGGGCATCCCTTTTCACTTGGTCACGCCCCCTACTCCTGGCCACGCCCCTCAGGCTATGCTTCCCCCAATCATCCCTTTTAACGTGGCCACGCCTCCTACCTCTGGCACCACCTCCAGGGCAGCCTTCAAACAGCATTCTTTTCTTACCTGGCCACCCCTCCTCCATGACCCCCGACCCCACACCCTTCCACACCCTTCTTATCCCACTCACTGGCCCCTCTTCTTTAGGGTGTATCGTGGCCCTTGTCCTCACCCCTGTCCCCTGTTACCTCAAGGCCTGACTCTCACCATGCCCCAGCATCCCTGATCCTCCAGCCCCTCCTCTCACCTTCACTGTTGAACATGGTCACGCTTTGACCTGGCCCACCTCAGGCCTGTCGTTAGCCGGTCCTTCTTGGGCACCAGTGTCTCTTCCTGATCCTGCGCCCTCACCTTTCCTCTTTGGCTCACTTTATGTCTCCGTTTGCACTTAGCCTCTTCTTCCAGTCCTCCTCCCTAAACCCCACTCTCACCGTGGCCTTGGCCCTTCGGCCCTGTCCACCACTGGAAACCTCACCTCCATGGTGACCCCGCCCACGGGCCCACCCGCCATCAGGCCCCGCCCACACAATCCAGGCCATCCTTTCTCCCTCAAACCCAAACCACAATGTGGTTCAGTCCTCAGGTAGGTTTTGTCAAGCCACTGTATCTACACTCCCCTCCTGTCCTCCTAAGGGCAGAACGTGACACCCCCGTAGCCATGTTCCTCACCTTGGCCCCTCCCCTCAAGGCCGGGTCCAGCCTCCCTCAAGCCCAGGTTCCCCCATGGCCTCATCCCTGATAAGGACACGGCCTCCACTGTGTGTTCCTCGTGAGTCTTATTCCTGCCAAGGTCCGCTCTCCCAGTGGCCAGGCCCATGATGCCTAAGCCAGCCCCCTGTTCTTACACTACCTAGGATTTCCAGCCCCTGCCCCTCCCATTATCCTACCCTCTCTACTGTGTTCCCCTGACCCCCAGTTTCCTGGCCCGGCCTTACATCAGGGAGCACTGGTAGCCTAGTGGTAAGAAGGTGCACTGCAATCCCTAAAGCAGGCAGTTCAAACCCACCAGCTGCTCCCCAGGAGAAGGACAGGCAATGTCTTCCTGTGCAAAGTACTGCCTCTGAAAATCCGATGGAGGGTCAGCTGTGGGATGGTTCTGACTCAACAGCTCACAACAACAATAACAACCCCACCATCAGAGAGCGCTGGTGGCCTCGTGGTTAGGAGTTTGCTGCCAACCCAAAGACAGGCGGGCAGTTCGAATCCACCAGTGGCTCCTGTGAGATGGCTTGCTGAGGGGTCAGCTGGGAGTCGAGTCTGACTTGATGGCATATAACCACTCCAACAACGTTCTGCCCAGACCTGCCTTCCACCGTGGTCCCACCCATGACCCTCTGACACTCCCCACCCCTCAGCCCCACTGTAGCCCTGACCATTGCATCCTGGACCTTCCCTGCCACTCCCAGACAGACCCACCCTCTGCTTCCAGCCCTACCTATGACTTCCTGGCCTCACCCACCATCACCTTAAAGAGGCGTCCCTATACCAGGGCCTCTCCAAGACTTCCTGGCCCCGTCTCGTGATGCCCCAGGATGCCCGTGGCTTCCTGGACCTGCCTGTCCTAGGCATTCTTTCTGCTATGGCTGCCCCTTACTCCATGGCCCCCCAGACCCCATCGAAGATCCTAGCTCTGCACCTTTCCATGTTCCATGGTAGCCCCGTCCAGGTCAGCCTTCCACTGTAGCCCATGACTTTCCGAGCCCTACCACCACTGTAGTCCTGTTCACTGCATCCTAGACCCACCCTGCCATGGCCACTCCCAGGCCTGTCCCCTGCTGTGGTCCCACCCATGACTCTCTGGTCCTCCGTGACTCATGCCCGCCTTGGCCCACCCTCTTACTCTTGCCCTACCTATGACTTCCAGGTCCCAGGCACCATTGCCTTAAAGAGATAGACACCTCTTCACTGGGGCCTACCTATAACTTCCTAGTCCCACCCCATCATCACCCCGCCGATGGTGTCCTGGTCCCTCCTAAGATGTCCTGTCCCCCGCACACAGGCCCACCTTCTCTGGTCCTACCCATTACTCCCTGGACACCCCCCCCCCAAGACTCCTGTCCCGGTACCCTGGTCCTGCCTGTCCTGACAAATGCCCACTACACCATGGCTCCGCCCCAGTCTGCGGTAGCCCCGCCCAGACCACGCCCACGAGACCCCTCCCCCCTGGGGCCCCGCCCCACCTCACGGCTGCCTCCACCTGTCTCCTCTGCAGCCATGTACCCCACTGCGGCCATCACGCCCATCGCGCACAGCGTGCCCCAGCCACCGCCCCTCCTGCAGCAGCAGCAGCGAGAAGGTGAGGCGGCCACGACCTCCCCGGGCACAGCCCCGCCCGCTCCCGCACCTGCAGGTCCCCGGGAACCCAAGGGCCTGGGTGCGAATGCTGGGGCCGCTGACCGTTCCCTCCTGGCCTCAGTTTCTGCTTCCGGAAGGCGAGACCCGTGGTGGCCCAGCCGCACCTAGGGTGGTGAGCAGGGCTGCAGGTAAAGCGCTTAGCACGTCCTTCACCGAGCCACCAGCCTCAAGAAGAAACCTGCTTGAGTTTGAGGGGGGCGGCAGGGGCAACGAGAGGGTGTCCGGTCAAGACTTTGCAGGGAGGAGGTAGAGTCTGGAGCCCACAGCTCGGGTTCCAGCGCCAACTGCCTCCGTTTCCCCTCTGCAAGGTGGCGGCCTAGGGGCCAGGAAATGATACAGGGTACTCATGGCTTGAAGTAGGTGCTCAGCCCCAGAGGGACCCCCGTTGGCCTGAAACCCATCTTCCCTGGGGGTGTCAGGTGTCAACGACCTGGCCCCAGACTGTCCTCCCTTCTCTTCTCCCATCCCTCCACCGCCAACAGGGGAGAAGAGCTGACGTTTGGGTCAAGCCCTAGGGGACATTTTCTGAGTCCCCCCCCCCCAGGCTGACTCCCTGCCATCCGTCAGAAGTTGTTCAAAATTAACAGCACCAACAACTTGTGTGTCGGAAAGTAGCCCTACAAATGCGAGGCCTCCAGCTAGCCCTGGACAGCACCCTGTGGCCCTCCCACAGGGCAGGCTAGTCAAACTACCACAGACACGTCCACTGCCTTGGGCCACTGCCTTCTGGGGGTCCTGGCATTTACACCCACTCTTCCAAACCTTCTCTCTCCACCCTTAACCTGCGCTGTGGGTGACAGCTCATTTGATAGAGTCAGCACAGTTCTAGGCCAGTACTCACTTCCCCAAAATTCTCCATGGTGTGCAGATACAATCTCCAGGGTTTATGAGCACAAAACTTAAAAATCTTCTTTAGGGAACATTTTTTAAAAAAAGAAACAAAAAACAGAACAGCACGATTTTATTATGTATTGTGTTGGACTGTTTAGGAATGTGTACACACACACACACACACACACACACACACACATACAAACACACACACACATACAAACACACACACGCACGCACGCACGCACGCGCGCGCGTGCGCGCGCAACTTACGGCACTTTACCTTGGAAAAGACAGTGAATTTGACTTACAACAGGAGTTTGGATGGATTCCAGGCTGTGAATGCTGGAAGGAAGAAAGGCTGTACCCTGGGGGAGACTGGTTTGGCTTCTAACACACTTGAGTTACTAAGAAAGCTGGTCACATTGGAAGGGGCGTGTGTCTGTGTGTGTGTTTTCTTATGTGTTTACGTTCAGCTGGTGTGGTTTTCTGCTTCCACCTTGTGCCTTTGGGGGGTCAAAATCAAGCAGAAACAAATGAAAAATCTACATTATGCTTGAATTATTCCTAATACTTCAGCTATGCTGGAACAAAGCTATTTTATTTATTTTTTTTTTCTTAAAAAGCAGCTTTATTGTTGTGCAGCGCCTTTGAGTGGTCGATGACACTGTCAACAACAGAGCTTAGATCTGAACCTCTCCCTGTCCTGCGCCGTGTGACTGTTACTGCGTCAGTCCACCTTGAGGATCTTCCTCTCTTGCTCTGATATCCCACCTTTCCCAGCACGAGAATTCCCTCCAGGGACTGGTTGGTCTTGATAGCACGCCCAAGGTCAGACAGGTTTACCATTCTTGCATCCGAGGAGCACGCTGAAAGTTTTGTCATTGTTGAACATTTTCTCCCCTTCTTCCCTCCCCCACCACTCCACAATGCACCTCTTGTGCCAGACTGTTGTCATATATGTTGTTTTTAAGTGCCACTGAGTCGAGTACTACTCATAGCGACCCCATGAACAAAAGATCTGAACCCAGTCCTGTCCTGTGCCATCCTCACACTTCCTGACACACAAGAGCCCATTGCAGCAGTCACCTTGTCATTCCACCTGGTTGAGGGTCTTCCTCTCCTTCGCCGACCCTCCTCCCTTCCCAACATCATATCCCTCTCCGAGGAATAGCCCCTCCTAGTAACATGTCCAAAGTATGTGAGGTGAAACCTCATCATTCTTGCCTCCAAAGAGCACTCTGGCTGCACCCTCTCCAAGATATAATAATATTGTCATAGATACAAAGCAATTTTTCTTCTGTCATCATTATTCATAGAAAATACCATGACTGGGATCAGGTGCACCTTAGTCTTTAAACTGACATCCTTCCTCATTAGAACTTTGGAGAGGTCCTTCATAGCAGATTTCCCAATGTAGCATATCTTTTGTCTTCTTTTCTTTTCTTTTTTGCTATTTTATTATTTTGTGTGTATGTACCGTCAAACCAGATCTGACTGGTACAGGAGGAGGACATTGTCCTTCTTTCTCTAGCAGAGCATCTGGTGGATTTGAACCACGCACCTCTGGGATTGCAGTGCAGCTTCTTGCCACTAGGCCACCAGAGTTCCCTATCTTTTGTTTTCTTGACTGTTACTACCATGCGTGTTGATTATGAAGGGAAAAAGAGGAAATTATTGACAACTTCAAATTTTTTCTCATCTATCATGATGTTGCCTGTTCTGTCGTCTTTGATCTTCTGCAGTAAGTGCAGAAGGGAACGTCATGTCATCTGCATAACACAGATTGCTGATGAGTCTTCCTCCAGTCCTGACGCCACATTCTTCTCCATGTTGTCCAGCTTGTCAAATGATTTTCAAACACAAGCAGGGTCACACATGCTGGACAGACTTCAGTGGCGCTTCTGGACTAAGAAGCAGGATTGGCCATCCACTTCTGAGATAACAGGCCCTCAGAAACCACAGCAACACGCAGACCACCACAATAGGGCCAAATGACAGATGAGTGGTAGACAAGCAGCTCCATAGATGTGGATTCTTGGGTTCTGGATTTTCTGGGTCTGGGCAGATCTCTGGACTGGGGGCTGCCCTTGTTTGGGGGAGGGTCATGGAAGAAAACCGTCCTTAAGTGTTGGGTTAGACGGGGTGGGGGTGGGGGCTTCCCCTAGCTTTAGATCAGCTATGTCCGCCGAAGTGCTGTAATTATTCGTAGTTTTTAGGTTAGCCAAACATTCGTAGTTTTTCTGGGGGGTAAGGGATGGATATGAGGATTATCTTTCCCTTCTTGAAAAAGTTATTTTCTGGTTGCTATATCATTTCGTAATTACCTGTTTCGGGACAGCTGGGGTTTAGGACAAGGAATTATCTTTTCATTTTAGTTTATTTCTGCATCACCAGAATTTTGAGAATTATCCAAGGTTTGGGATCATCTGGGGTTTTCTGGATAGCTGAGGTTTGAGACTGGGGAACTCTTTGCTTTATTTTATGGTATAATCATCAGACTTTTTAAATGAACTTTTCATTTTAGAGCCGTTTTAGATTTACAGAATTATTGCACAGGTGGTGTCCCTGTGTATCCCACATCCCAGCCCTCTGACTTTTGTAAATGATCTTGCCTTTGGATTGGCTCTGAGATCTGATAATTTCTTCAGGGTGTTAGGATTGTCTAGGGTCTGGGGCTGGGAAATTTTCTGGGTTTTGGGGAGGATAGAGATGAAGGGTCACTGAGTTGGAACGAGGTCTGTGGTAATGAGTTTGTTAGTCGTTTTCTGTTTTCAAGATTCAAGGTGGGAGCCGGATGAGACAGTTTGCTTCTGTAAAGATTCCTTAGAAACCCAATGGGACACGAGGCATCTATGAACTGGAATCAGTTGGATGGTAGTGTGGTTGGCTTTGGTGGTGGTGTTGCAGTAGTAAAGTGCTTGGCTGCTAACAGAAAGATCAGTAGTTTGAACCCAGCAGTTTCCTCTTTAGGAGAAAGAGGCAGGAGTCCATTCTGTGAGGGGGCCGCAGGAGTCCGCTCTGTGAGGGGGCCGCCGGCCTTGGAGACTTCAGGCCATCCGCCTCTCTCCTGTATGGTTGCTATGAGCTGGAGTGCCTTGATGGCATTGGATGAGGCATCAGGGACCTCCCATGGGATAAAACAGAGTACACGTGACAGTGGGAAACACTTCATGGTGTGTATGGACTAGGCGGCTGTGACAGTGGGTGTGAGGGGGAATTACACTGGAGGTTGCAGCTCCTGCCTGACACAGATCTGTGATCTGGGGACTGTCCCGAGCCTGGGGGCCCCCCGGGGCCTGGGATTACCAGTAATCTGGCACATCCATGTTTGGGATGATTGAGACCATGGCATCAGCCTGGCCTGTGTCCAGGTGTCACAGGCCTCCCTCTCCCTACAGCTGGCAACTCAGATGTGGCTTCGGACCCGTGCCCTCCCCGGGGGTCCGCTCCTCTCCTTGGGGGCTTTATGTCTTTCTCTCCCCCACCTGCAGGTCCCGAAGGCTGTAACCTGTTTATCTACCACCTCCCCCAGGAGTTTGGAGACACGGAGCTGACCCAGATGTTCCTGCCTTTCGGCAATATCATCTCCTCCAAGGTGTTTATGGATCGGGTCACCAACCAGAGCAAGTGTTTCGGTGAGCCCCCTCGGGGACCCCGCCTGCTGGTACCCTGGCCCTGGGGGGGGGGCGGGGGGAGGGTGTGGTCAGCCACGGGGCAGGCCTGGGCCCGATCAGTGAGCAGCTGCTGAGCGCCTGCTGTGTGCATCATGCATCATCCCCTCACTCACCAAATATATGCAGTCTATCCATTTGTGTGCCTGTGTATCATTTCCAGTCTTCATTCATTCCTTCATGCTTTCAGTACATAGATTCGGCACCTGCTGTAAACCAGGCGGGTCCCATCGCTCATCCACTCAGCGTTGGGGGGGTTTGGGTGCCCGGCACCAAATGCGCTCTGTGCATCATTCATTCATCCACTCACTCATTCGGAAAAGTCAAAGTCATGGCCATGGAGTTGGAATTGATTCATAGCTGACCCTCAGGTGGGTTTTCAGAGGCTGGAAACCACACGGGAGGAGACTGCCCGTCCTTCTCCTGTGGAACAGCTGTGGGTTAGATTTGAACTGCCTGCCTTGGACTTGGCAGAGCAGCTAGGCCATCACAGCTCCCTAGTTCAGCACCTGAGGTGCCAGCTGTGTTCCGAGCACCATTCATCCCGTCAACAAAGACATCAAATCATTGCCATCGGGTCACGACTGCCGCACGGTTGACCGCCTGGCAGTTTTTGGGGAGACTGGAGTCACCCGGGAGGAGAATGCTTGACCGCCTGGCAGTTTTTGGGGAGACTGGAGTCACCCGGGAGGAGAATGCTCACCTTTCTCCCTGGAGCAGCTGGTAGATTTGAGCTGCCCGCGAGGTGCCGCCTTTGGGCTAACCGCACAACTCCCCAAGATTACTCCGCAGAGCTCCCTCAACAGATACGCACAGTATGTCTCGATTTGCGTGTTTTATGTGTCATTTCTAAGACTTCATTCATTTGTTCAACACACTCATATATCCATCAGGTCCTTACTACCTGCAGGCATGGTCATGGCTGTAACATACATCAGTCAGCCGTTCGTCCGTTCATCTAATATATATATTGAATATATATATATATATATATATATATATATATATATATGTCAGGCACCTGCTGTGTTCCAGGCACTGGGCTGGGCTGGTGACAGAGCAGTGAATAAAGGTGACAGAGGTCCCTCCCTTCAGATCCGGCAGCACCGTGACACTGTCCTGTTGCTCTGAGTCTGGCCATGACACTGTTCTGAGCACTCCCTAATCCGTCTGGCCTGCTGTGGTGGCCACCTGCCCCAAAAGGGAACTCACCCCATAAGGGTACTCCCTGGGAGGCAAGTGCAACCAAGGAATTTGTCGTTTTATATCCGTTTTAGTTAACTGGCATTTAAATAGCCACACAGGGCCAGTGGCTATGGTCTGGGCGAGCAGAGTCCAGGGGGAAGTGTCAGAAATAAACAGACACAGCTCAGGGCATTCTGATCAGCGTGAGGAAACCAAACCACATAGGGAAAATAGAGACAGATGGGGTTGAGGTGGTCAGGGAGGGCTTCTCAGAGGAGATGGCCTTTGAGACAAGACTTCAAAGACAAGGAGCCAGTATGGAGAGATCCCAGGGGAGGGTGTTCCAGGCAGCAGGCAGGCACAGCCTGTGCAAAGGCCCTGGGGCAGTTCAGTGCCAGGGGATTTGGAAGAACAGTGAGGAGGTTCCTGGGGTTGGAATGGAATGAGCAGAGGGAAGATGGGGAGGGCAGGGAAGGGATGAAGCAGGGCAAGGAGGGGACAAGGCTGGATGTGCAGGGCCCTGTGGGCAGTGGGAGGAAGGTGGGAGCCCTGGAGGACTGTGGCAGAGGAGGGATGGGCCTGGCTCAGGGATCACAGGCGCCCTCTGGCTGCCATGGGAGGAACAAACTGCAGGGCAAGGGTAAGAGCCAGGTGGGTGGGTATCTGAGCAGTGACGCTCCAGGCACAGGAAACAGCTTGTGCAAAGGTCCTGGGGCAGGACTGAGTCTAGTGAGGTTTAGGACCAACAAGGGAGCACCTGTGGCTGGAGCTGAGTGAATGAAGAGAGAGGAAAGGAAGGGAGGAGGCAAGGCCAGCCGTGCAAGGTAGCTCTTTTGTCCTCAGAAACAGGCAGTGAAGGCTCTGAGAAGAGCTACAATGTGTCCAAGCCCACAGTACAGGGAAGAGGCAGCCCTTGGGTTCGAACCAGTCTTCCTAACGCCAAAACCAACTTCTTAACCCTGCACTATCCTGTCTGAAGGGTCACATCTTGACTGTAAAACACCTCCTGGATGTTCTCAGTATTCATCCACAGCCGGATCTGTGTCTGTTGAGGCCATTTCAACGTCAGTGGCCCTCCAGGACAGGTGAACTGCCCCAGGGTACAGAGAGAGTAGTTTTTATGGAAGCACACTGCCATGTCTTTCTCAAGGAGCAGCTGGTAGATTCGAACCACTGACCTTTCCATCTGAGTTCCAGCACTCTACCCACAGTGCCACCTGGTAGTATTAGACCACGGAAGAGGGAGAAATGTCCTAAGAGAGGAGATAAGATGGATAAGTGACATGTTCAGGGCAGTGGTCTGCTTCAGCGTAACCTTAAGGGGATCATCTGCCCTCTCTGGGCCTCAGTTTCCTCACCAAGTGAGATGGACAGATTCATGAAGAATGAATGAATGAAACATCGGAGGTTGCCCAGCTGCAGCTCCTCTAGGGCCCCCACGGCTCAGACAGGGGGTCCTCTTTGCCTTACCCTCCCCCCGCCCCACGTGCCCCTTGCCCCACTCCCTCGCGAGTGTCCACATCCCTCATGGTCTCCACTAAGGCCCAGGAACTAGTGAAGACGAGGTGCAGAGCAGGACGCAGCCAGGGGTGGCACTGGGTGGAGGGAGTGCGGCTGTGGAAGCTTGAAGAGGGGTGGGGGAAGGTTCTTGTTAAAGGGGGAGAGATCTGGGGGCTGAAAGACAGTGATACAGAGAGCAGAAGAAAGAGGTAAGGAGAGAAAAGAGAGGAGGGAAGCCGACCAGTTCAGAGACACAGTGAGGCCTCCACTCCTCCAGAGGGAGAAAGGAACGTGGAAATCAGAGTTTCCAGAACAAACTACCGTATTTCTCACAAACAGCGTGCCCATGCACAGAGCTATCCAGAGGGTGCACTGGGTCCCAAAGTCTGCGGGAAAATACGTTCGTTTTTTTACAAAAATATGGTAACAGTCTATATCATCACAGCTGTATCTACCCTGAGCCCAAAAAGAGCTGGATGGTGCCCATTACCGACTGTTCTGAGCAGAGCCACAGTAGATGGGCGAGCTTGGACCCTGACAGAATGCGAGGGCAGTGCAGACCAGAGCTCAAATTCTTAAGCACACACATACTCAGCTAGGTGAGGCTGAGGTCACTTTTTAGAAAAATAACAGACTGGCTCACAACGGCTATTCCCCACGAGTGTGGCACTACATTGAAAAGGCACAGGTGACCAAAAGGTCAACAATGACTATGAAACAAAAACAACATGCAAAGGAAGGCAGGGAAACGAGGGTGCTGGGAACGGAACCACTAGAGCGAAACAACTCGTTAAAGAGAGGGTGTTGACATATTGTGAGAGAGGTTACTAACTTCACTGTGCAACTGGTGTAGAAATTGGCCATGGGAACCTGATTTTCAGGATAAACTTTCACTGGAAAAAATAACCAAATATATATAAAATAGATTGGGGGAAAAAGAGAGAGAAGAGTACAGTCCTCCCCAGAGACTCCTAAACGCTCCACCTGTCCCCCATGCTGGCTGAAAAGTCTCAGCAGAAAAACTTGGTGTAGAGCAGATACTGGCTAAGGAGTGAGTTCCCCATCCTGAGAGGCATGCAAGTCCAGGAGGGCCAGAAGCAAAGTTAGAGTTGCTGTTTTGCCCTGGCAAGACTTCCCACCCATGTGAGAGCATATCTGGTGACCCCTGAGACCAAGTGGGGAAGCCAGGGCTGCGAGCACTGATCGAGCCAAGGACACGGGGGTTGCCCACCATGGCGGCGTCCACCTCGTCTCCACAGGCTTCGTGAGCTTTGACAACCCGGCCAGCGCGCAGACCGCCATCCAGGCCATGAATGGCTTTCAGATCGGCATGAAGAGACTCAAGGTGCAGCTGAAGAGGCCCAAAGACCCAGGACACCCCTACTGACCACGCCCCCAGCCCCCCAGGCTGCAGGCTTGGCCCAGGTGAGCCGCCAGGCGGCCCCGGCTCGCCCGACCCCTCCCTTGCTCTCCACACCCTCCCTCTGCGCCCTACCCACTGCTGGCAGCCTCATGGGCGGGGTTGGGGGCACAGAGCTGGACAAAGACCCCCAAACCTGTGCTAGGGCAGGGAGTGGGACCGGGGTGGGTGTGGGGAGCCAACTTAGCAAGGGAATCTCTCCTGGAGAGGGCTTTGCAGGATGAATAGGAGTTTGCCTGAGAGGCCAGATTTGGCCTGGGTTGGGGAGGGGATGGGGTTCTGGAAGTCTTGTGAGTCTGTCCCACGTTAACCAGAGAAAGTGCCCGGACCTTGACCTCTGAAGGTGGATCCCATCTGTCATCTGTCTAGCTTGGTTTAGAATCTGAGCTGGAGAGTGGGGTCAGGGACAATGACCCGGGTCCAGCGCACTGGGTCCCCTCCGCCCTCTGCCCAGGCCCCTCCGACTGTCCCGCTGTGCCAGCATCCATGCATAGCTCCTTATTTGGCACAACGCGCACCCCATGGGTTAATGAAACAAGCTCCCTTCCACTTTTGTGCAAAACACAAGCCCAACCCCCACCCTCCCACCCAAAAAAGCAAGCCTCCAGCGGCGAATATTTTACGCGTGGGTAACCGACGTTATCAGCAACATCACCACCTTCTCGGGGCAATGAACCAGGAACACAAACAAGGGCCAAGGTGGAAGCTTCTCTTTGCCCCCAAGTCTCGATGAGCCTCATCAGTATAATGGGCTCATGGAAACGGCTTCCCAAGCAGCAGCGGCGAGAAGCAGCGGGGGCGCAGGGTTCGCAGGGGACCGCGTGGAGAGCTCTCGTCGTCCTGTCTGTCACCTTTGTCACCTCTCCTGCTGACCCTCGGGCCGCGTCGCCTCCGGGCGGGGCGCGCTGCTCGGAGCCTGCAGGCCGGACCCGCCCAGAGCGCATGCCCAGAGCGCATCGGGGACGCGCGGACGTCGCCAACTTTGCCCTTCTGACGTGTCATCTTGGCTGAGCACCTACCACGTGCCGGGGGGCATGGCCTCCAGATCCGGGGCGGGGGGAACCTCGTGTCAGAGAAGCCAGAACTGGGGGAGGGGGGTGCACCACGTGCTTGGAGCGTCCAGGGCGGGTGGGGGCGGGGCGCACGAGACGGAAGAGAGAAGTGACGCGCGTCTTTGTCCTGGAAGCTGGTTCGGCTACACTGAGTCCCTCCAAAGCCGGGTTGCCGGCCTCGGAACCCAGGGACTGTCTCTGAGATGAGCTTGTGGGTGCCCAGAGCCCGCCCTGGCCGGGGCAGTGGGGGTGGCGGTGGTCGCCCCGCCCGTGGGCCCCATCGTGCTCCCTAACGCCCGTCCCTTCTCCGCCAGGTGAGGGGTCTGTCCACCCCGGAAGGGTTTCCGCTTCCACTCGACCCAGGAGATTTCCGTAAATTACAACCGAGTCTGGACACCACCCCTCTCCCTCCCCTTCCCCCGAGTGTGAACTCTCACTGAAAAGCCACATGGAGTGGGGAGGGGGCTCCCGAGTTGGGGGGAGGATGTAGGGGTTCACCCCCCCAGGACATTTCCTCACTTCCTTCCCTGACTTTGGTGGTCCCCCAAATGCCATCGCAAACTTTCCTATATATATATATGCATATATATAGAGCGCTAGAGACAGGATATATATTTTTTGCGTATAAATCATGGGACCAAATTTTTCCTTCCATCCGAGAGAGGATGACCCTGGGCCGGTCACTCCGCGGGCACGAGGAAAGGTGGGCCCACTTGCCCGGCGCCCCACCCGCACCCCCACCTTCGGCTGCCGCAGGGACCCGGGCCTGGCAGAGCCCGGGGGAGCGACCAACAGACTGACACCCCACCCGGATACCTCCTGGACTCCCGGCCCCTCCCCGCGAGTCCCGCAGGCCTCTGGGCTCAGCCAGCTTGACTGTCCCAGGTCCCAGCTGCAGCTTCCAGAACCTTCCCCGCCCCCCAGTCCCCGCCTTCCCCCAGATGTTGCCACAAAAAAGACCTTTCTGTCCTCCCTCCCCCGTCATAGCCTTATCTGTGTGACCAGTAGCCCTTAGCTTTCCGTCGGGAGGGGCAGACAGGGTTGCGGGAGCCCCCACTCCCCACTGTCCCCCTTCAAGGGCAGGCATCGTCCCCCCTGCCTTCAAATCACCAGCCTCGAAATTAAGGTCTCGTGATGAAGTCACGCGTGTTGGACCACACCAACCCGAACGGCCCAAGCAGCCGCCTCGATACCTCTACAAAGATTGGTTTTTTTTTTCCTTTTTTTTTTTCTTTTTTGGTGGTCTTTCTAAGCAGGTACAAAGAAGATAAGAGGAGAAAAAAAATCGGGGGAAAATCAAATGACAGTGGATTTTGGTTTCCTAGGGAGGGGAGAAGAGATTCCGGGGTACCTCTGTAAATGTGCCCCAAATACGCACTCTTGTGGAAGCACAGTCACGTCCGCCGACGTCCCCAGCCAGGCGCCAGGCGGGTCAAGAAGCTCAAAAAGTTCTCTCTCTATATATTACACACACAGACACACACACATTCACATACACAGACACACACACACACACACACACACACATACACACACACACCCCATTCCCTTTGTTCTACCAAATTGTGTTGACTGACCCAGAAAAAACAATATTTACCACATTGCCAAAAGGAAAGAAAACCACAAAAACCCTCATTTAAAAAAAAAAATCAAAAAAAAAAAAAAAAACCCAAAAAAAAGGAAAAGAAAAAAAAAATTCTTCTGACCAACTTGTTTTGAGATTCCAGAGTTTGGTAACCGTCCTGACACACTCCTATTCGCGTGCCTGTGTCGAAGCGTCCGCGTGTGCGAGTGTGTGTGCGAGTGTGTGTGAGCGTGTGGGGCCTGGCCTGACCCCCCAGCCCCGGTCGTCGGGCGGGCCGGGGCTGCACACTGTCTGCGTCCTCTTTGGACCTGTTTACTAGCTGTAAATAACCATTTTTCTACTTCACCTTGGCGACCTGCGTTATTTGTACGACGTGCTTTATTTCTGCTACAAGTACTTTCATGAAGTCCCCACTTGCGAACCGAATTTTAGAAACAAACACCCCCCCACGGTCCCCCTACACCCCCCCAAAAATATCCAGAAGGAAAAAGCGAAGGACTTAGAGGGGACTTTGGGTTGACTTGGTTTGAATTTCGTGTCCGAGAGGATTTCCTGTGACCAGAGACGTTCTTGTGACTTGTGTGTTTCGGTCAGAAGCCGCAAGCGTTGTCTTAATGTCCTAAATGCCTCTCTTTGGTCTGAAGAAACTGAAAATTTATTTAATAAAAGTTTTACTTGCTAAAGGACTGTCCCCGGCCCTTCGTTCTCTCACTCTGTGGATAAAGAGCTACGGGTCCCCTGCATAGGGCTCGTGGGCCGGAGATGAGGTGGTTACTGCTCTTGAGTTACTCCCCCCAGCCGCGAACCCACCCCAGTGGGATGAAAGCGGTCCAGTCCCGGGCCAGCCCCACAGTCCCCGGGATTAGGGCTGAATCAGCCCACTGTGATCTGCCAGTTTTCATTATTTTCCAGAAGTCAATCTCCAGGCCTTTCTTCCAGTTATAAAAAGAGCAAGAGCCATGTGGAGATGACCACTTCTGACCTTTGCCAACTCCACAATGGGGAACTGCCTGCCTAAACCATCAACAACCCAAAACCAATTCCCATGAGGTCAGACACGTTCCCCCCATGCTCTCGTATTTATTTGTAATCCTCTCAACACCAGTTTTACTTCGTTGTTGTTGTTGTTGTTGTGTACCGTGGAGTCAGAACTGACCCATAGCTGGCACTCTGGCGGGTTTTCAGACGCAGTTAATCGCACGGGAGGCGACTGAACATCGTCCTCCCACAGAGCTGTTCAAGGCCTTGAACTATACGCCTTAGAGATTGCAGAGCAGCTTCTTGCCACTAGGCCACCAGAGTTTCACAGCGTCCAGAGTCCACTGCGGTAGGTCACAGACCACAAAGAACTGTATTGGGGAGGTGGAAAGTGTATAATCCAGGAAATAGCAGAATTCAGTGAAGATAGTTTGCATGTGCCTCGGCCTGAGCCTTGCAGCATTAAGCCAGTGTTACAAAGTTGCGAGTCCTGCCAATATTGGCTCCCCACCAGCAGTTGTGAGCAAACCTGAGGCAAAGGTTCCTAGCTCAGCTCTGGTTCTGTCTGTGGAGTGTAGCAGTCCGGAGGCAGCTCCATTTCATGTCGGGCTCTGGTTCGACCACGGCAGCTCCATTCTCTTCCTTCTTCTTGGTTAGAAGGGAAAGGGATCTCCTTCCTCCTGCTGGACTGCTCAATTTAATAATGAGACTAGCCAATCCCCTTGTAGATTGGTGAGGTAGCCTATCCCCTTATGGATAGGGTAACACGCTCTCTATCCCGCCATCCACGTGGTCAAGTCAGGCAATGGCTAGGAAAGTCATACTGAAAGACACACTCCTTTTTATTTTAAAAGAAATTTTTTTTGGGTTTTGCGTTTACTTTTTAAAAATTTATTATTAATTTCAATGAAAATTTACAGACTTTGGATTTCCATTCATTCATTGCTACACTTTTCTCCCCTCCTAACCCTCCCCGCTGGATGAGAGACACCCAAGCGTTGAGGACTGTCCTTCATAGGGTCACTATGAGTCGCCTGCGGCTTAAGGGCACTTAGCAACAACAACATCAACATAGAGAGAGAGATCAGCTGGCCCAGTGGACAGAAAGCGATGCTACCAAGCTGAAGGTGGGTGGCTTTTAATCTGTGGCCCTCCGGCTTGTCTTTCATTGTTTTTGTTCAGACATTCCTCTAGGTCGTATAGCCCTGGTGTACAAGTTGCCGTACAGTGGTAACTTGTGGTTGCTGTGAGGCTGAACACTGTAACACTGATGTGTCAAATGCGTTAATGGTTGGACAGAGAGTGGGGTGGAGCTCTCCGATTAAAACAAGCTTGGAAGGAGGAGTG